TCCATCTGGCATCCTTCCATTCCATACAGTAATCAGTTTCATTTTCAGAAGGTGCGATGGTGGGGATATGCTTGTCATCATTTCATCCAACCACACTGGAAATCCTGAAGGAAATTCTGATTATTGGGTTACTTTTCGAGGTTGCAGCAAGATGTTATCAAGTGAACGTCATTTATCAGATTAGTCTCATTTAAATAGAATGGCCAGATGTCCCGTTTTTCTCGGGACAGTCCCGTATTTCAGTTTTATTTTTAGTGTCCCAACTAATGACACACACCAGAAGCGCTCTCTCGGCCGCACTATCCCAGCTCTCGCAATCAGTTCTCCTTGCGCCTGAATTGTCAAATACACGCACCGCTGTCAAAATGTCCATCGTGTGGAGTATCTCACGTAAATACAGTCGGTTATGGCTTAAGTGAATGTAAACAGGTGGGTGAAAACCGGACATGTGTTAGTATATTACATTCATTTGGTCTTAAAGGGACAGCAGCCTAATTTAAACCTGTCTGTCTCATTAATGTTAATCAAATAACAAAAGATGTTAAATAAATGTACATGTTAAACCTACTGAATTAGAAAACCTAATTTATTTAATATTTAATCTGTATCTATTGTATTGGTCTTATGGTTTGTAATTTGCTTCTTTAATTTTTATATAAAAATAACTATGTACGTGTGTGTGTGTGTGTGTAGAGATAGATAGATAGATAGATAAATAAAATCACGCCCCCATGCATGTGAATACGGTGTAAAAACGGTGTACGGGCTTGTGAAGGGAAGGGGAAAAAATTATTTAAGTGCTTTTTCTTATTTTTACAAATTATCTGCCAATGGGTTAAGAAATTAAAAATAGCCTATTCTAGTTTCCATTTGCATTAAGATCATTTGTCTTACCCTGTGGAGGACAATTTTACATGTTTTACGTAAAATGCACTAAAAAGGAAAATCCCCCAGGAAACAAGACTAAATATCTTAAACCATTTTTCATCTAGGCCTATAGAAAATGCATCTTAAGAATTTTTTGATATTTGTACTTGAAATAAGACAAAAAATACTCAGTAAGTAAAGCAATTTTGCAGAGTGAATGAATGAATGAGGTATTTAAACATCACTTACACTTTAAAAAGGGGGAGGAGATGAAAGAAACAAATGTTTTATTGACCATTCACTATTATGGTGATTAGTGTTGCCCCTTGACATTTTAAAATTAGGTTT